TCTAGTTTGTTATTTCTGAACGAATCGCGACGACTCCTCACTGTGCTGATTCAGCGTTCGGTAAATTTATAAGAGCTTCAAAAATTTCTTCTCAGGTGCTCAAGAGGCTTAGAAGTGATGCAGGGACAAGTGGTGCTGCTTTACCCTCCGACACGCGTCTAAGAGTTCAATCTGGACAGTGCGCTTTCAAGGACTAAGCGGTTTATACCTACAGTGCGTCGTTATCGACACCGCAAGATTTGTGTGGCAGAGGTTAAACACGCCCTGTATCGGACTGACATCAGGAAGTTTCTGGATAGGCTAAACCGCTTTCAAATTGCTATCACGACTTTGAGTAGAAGTAGAATGGATAGCGCATCTCAAAAACGGATTAATCAACGCCCTATCGTATAACTTATTCCTTTCGAGACAACTTAAAAGTCCACATCAAGACCACTAGGCCTGGTTCTCTGAAGGTCATAAAGCAAAGACAGGCAGGCGATCCATGATTATCAGTAATGATATGAATATTTCGATACAATTTGTCTTATCTATGCTTGAAAACACGGCAACAAAACTTTATAATATGAAGATATAATTCATTGGAAAGCAGAATACATTGCAATCTTATTTATTCTATTTATTTATTAATTCTGTGTGTCAAGGCGGCGATTGCAAGGTCGATGAGAATGAAGTCGCGAGGACCATATTGATCATATAATTATACATATCACCTACAGAGATGCTTCCGTTGTAGTGACAGACTTTCTGTTTTTTCTTCGCAAAACGCCAACTCATTCTGAAGAGCTCCGTTCGTAGCTAATTGTAGTCGTTCCTTGAATCACAACGTAATTACGCGACGCGCTACTAAATTGAACGCTGCTTAATTCCAGTAACAGCACGTCCCATGCAGATGTCTTGGCGTAGCGAGAATCAACACACGCCTTCTGAGCCTCTTCTGTCATATTTTCATTTTCCCTTATGTCACGCAATTACACATTTTGGCCTGGGAACACAATCGCTTTTCCTGTGCCTGCTTAAATTTAAATCTGAATTTATAAAGGATTTCCTGTTCTTATGAGATGATTTATTTTATGCAATGAAAAAGTCTGATGAAGGCATGGATTTAATTAATCTACAAAGTTATTTATTCGCTATAATATTGGGCTGTCCCATAATTTCTGGCCGAATTTTCAACACTTTGATTTATTCAAGTTTTATCTTTCCTAAAAAACAATTGATCAAAAACATAACCACCATCATAATCACTGATATGCATCCATTTGCTAGGGAACGAATGGATGCATTCCTCCCAGAACGAGAGAAGCTGTGAGATGAAAAGCTCGAAGAGGTCGTTTTTGGGGTGGTTGTATTTACTGACTTTTTCTCTCCTAGCTGCTGCTTCAGGGAGCTGAGGTGATAGTACGATGGAGCAATGTAAGGGCTATACGACAGATGTGGTGTCGTGGTCCAGCCAGTTTCCCTCGAAACGTGGCGAGTTATCTTTGCAATGTGATTTCGGGCGGTCCTCCGGAGAAAGGAGATTTTGAGACTTTCGAACCGTTCTCCCGCACTGCTGCGGCCAACTTTGGGAGCTATTCCATGGTTACCTTCGCAATGCTTGTCTGCATAAAGTGAAATGGTTCTCAAAACGGGATACCCAGCGAATCCAACAAAACGGGGGTCACATCCTCTGATGAAACAGCTCGGGTTTTGGTTGAGATGGTGCGTCCAGGCTGCGAGGTAGCCACCAGGCGTGCCGCGTGTTGTTATCGTGGTGGACTCATGACTCATCTGCACTGGTGACCAACTAGGGAATCTTGTCTATGCGGTCGTGGAATGAAACTTTCGCAGTGGCAGGGTCAGGCATGCCTCTCAGCCATGGTCAGTCGATGCATGCTGTTCCATCGAGGCTTCATTCTGCTACAGTCCATTCCATTCAGGTGTCGACATGGAGCGTAGGCTGCGCCCAGATGTTTGCTACAGTTTCCTGCTAATAGCGTATCTCTTCGTAGCGCAAGCGGTCCTCATCGAAAGTGATTGGGGTCCGTGATGAGGTCGAACTTTGCAGCTCCTATCGCCTTTGCGTATGCTATTGAGCCAATAGCTCAGGTGCCCGATCAGTAGCAAAGATTGGGGCAAACGTAGCGCTGATCTTGCCTACCGCGCTCCTTGCAAGGTTCTTCTTAAATTGTCGTAAGCCTGATCGTTGGGTTTGTTGCGCTGATCTATTGATTCCTACTTATATTACCCTAGTTTGCGCGTTTGAGGCTTCTGAAATCATCCTGGCTGAAGGTCCTGATGTGTTCTTCAACATATCAACTTATTTCGATATGAAGTTAATTTGGCATGAAGAAAATTGAATTTGGACCAAAATCGGCCAGGACTAGATGGACAACCTTAATAGTTTTTTGGTTGGCTGGGGCATTTCACAGCTTTTTCGGTTTGCATGATACAAATAATGCAGCAGGACACGAATATCTGGCGCGTTTTCGTTTCTTTTTTTTCTATATTCACTTCCTTCGCCTTTTAGTTAAGGCTCTTCGTATGAGCTACATTCACTTATGCATGAATGTAACCATAACGCGAGATTTATCGCAAATCATATTTAATTTAATTTGATTGGCGCTGGTATAATTTTTCACGCATGCGGTACTATTAGTACACTCGATATCGTATTTTATTTATCTTGTTTATTTATTTAATTTATTATTTATTTAAACTTAAACTGAACTTAAAACAACAATTAATCTGAAGTTAAATCCCGGGTGAGTGCAGCTTGGTCCAAGTGGCGCTCGATGACCGGCGTTCTCTGCGATAAGAAAATACCAGAGCGACTGAAATCTAAGATCTACAGAACCGTCGTCCGACCAGTCGCCATTTACGGAGCAGAGTGCTGGCCCGTGACTAAAGAGGTTGAGGCTCGTCTCAGTGTAATGGAGACAAAAATGCTGCGCTGGACTGCCGGGGTTACCCGTTTAGACCACATTCGCAACGATACCATCAGAAAGCGGTTCGGTGTGGCTCCCATCGCTGATAAGATGCGCGAAGCTCGCCTACATCAGGAAGCGGACCCCGCCACAGGGGGTGGGACAAACGCTAAAGAATAAGTGGAGATAGATTTGTTCATTTATTTTATTTATGCACCAAATGAGCGCTGTTCAATAGCAGAGAATTAGGGGCACGCAATAGTGCCAAACAGAAGAAATCATCCAAAATCAAACGATGTTCAGGGCCGAGCACAGCAATGGCGTCCGCTGATTCGTGAGTTTCACAAGCATACTACCGTGTGGGAAAGAATATGGCTTCCATCTATAAGGATGAGCCACACACGCTTCAGTATCTGAACTGGCAGCCTTCGAGATGACGAAACCAATAAGCCAGTAACCACACCAGTTGGCCATGGTGCCTCACATTCAAGAAGGAATCATTGGACAGAGTCGGGACTATTTGCAATATTATAGTTATGATTTTTCGTGACAACGCACATGCGCGTCACGCGCGTCGCTGCCTTACAAGCAGTTAACACGTCAAACGCCCATTACTTTGAACAGAGCTTGTGGTTCTTCGTTTGCCGGTACCTTCTCACAAGCTTCTTCCTGTACAGATACCTTATGCACCAACTTTGGCTCATGAACTATCCTATCAGTGAAGTATAGGAAACGTGCTGTGTCTTTTTCACCTGCAGTGCTCTGCATCCCCATACCAAAGTGCGTTAGCTGAGAAAAGATTTGTGGTGAGAGATGTGACCCCGTGGGGTGCCTTTTGAACTTTCGCCAATATCTTGCCCTTTCACAAATACGCTACAATAAGATCTGTTTCCGATCTTTGAATCCCCGGACGCTGTACGCGCGTATGCGGCGCTATTTTTGCCACTCACACCGTTTCACCGCCACAATAGCAACGTTAGAATCGACGCCGCAAATGGTAACAACGAAAAAAGCTTGGAAAGCCGAAGCTCTTAAATAGTAAACACGGGCGTAAAAATATGTAAGCATGGCCATTATAGTCGATAACATACAGCCTAGCAGATAAAATTTCGAAAATTCAAATTTCCCTTTACCAAACTAACTGAGAGCGGGATCACTAATTTCATAGAATAATTTAGTTACATGTGCTAAAGCCTGACGGTGCACAAGGTTACCTCAGGCGTCTTAAAATAAAAAAATATAAGCTAACCCTTAAATGAACCTGAGCTAAGCAGCATTGTAAAGCAGTAGGGTCTAGGAGAGCGCTCATAGAACCAACAAAGTGCATTCTATTTAATGAATCGTTGCCAGAGTACTTTGTCGTTATATCTCCAAAGAGTGCGCTGCTGATTTCGGCTGAGCGCTTCAGTCTGCCTGCAAAAAAAAACCCTTAATTGGCTTCATCAGTACTTTCCTACGCTAGATGTGTCTAACTTCTGCTGTCTCAGCTCTACGGCAACTCTGACTCTCTCAACTTCTTTTTTTCAATAACTACTACACTCCCTGAATTGATGTGTTTTTATGCAGTTATTCTCCCTAATTTATTATTATTCAATTATTTATGTTCACGAATGGACCCATTTAAAATCCTTTTTCCTCCGTATTTTCGTGCTATGGGCACTTCCTTGTTATCCATTCGAGCATTCGGCATATTGCAGAAGACAAATGACCAGTGGATGACGGTGGGCGTCGTACTGCCGAATCTCCAGAGAGTTGTTGAGGCGAAAAATGAATGTGAGTCTTTGCGATTCGTCAAACATCGCCTTTAACCGACCCGATGGTGGACATTATTGTTCAGGACAGTGGAAGACTGACAACATTCGTCTCAACCCTACAAGGGCTCTACTTCTTCTCAGCTCTATTCGTGCTCTCCGTATCTGCCGTAATACTGTGTGTTTGCGTTGTGTGCTGTTCACATTTCATGGACTGCATATCAGAGAAAAGAAACGCGATGATTATGTATCGAATTATTGAAAAAAATCAACTAAAGTATTATGAATGTCATTAGCTAAATCTATACATAGAATTTGGTTCTGCGTCGCCATTCGCTGATTAGCGTGCGATTTTTGTCGCGAGCAAACGGGCATACATGCACAAATGCTCCGAGGAAGGGCTTCCTTGAAGCATGGGCAAAGGCCGGAGCATGGCCACAAGAACAGCAACACGAACACCATACACCACACGTACGCGAACAGGCCACACTCTCGATGCACGTCTGTTTGGACCAGATTCTGAAAAGATTAATAGCAAATTATGGATTTTCGCTCGGCGCGAAGCAAATAAAGAGCCATCTAAGATCAAATCCACGGATAGGTCGGAGGTTTGAAGAATGGGGGACTTCTATAAAAAAAATATATAGAGGTATACACAGCGATCTGCCATGCGTCCCTGCGCCGCTAGAGCCGCGGCACGCCCCTTAGCCATTTGGCAAAGAGGGCGTTAGTGTTGAAAAGGGACTCGGATAAGAGTCGCATCAGTGCAGATATTACGGGTTCTGAGCCGTTCCTCATAGGTTTTCTTTATCTCTGCATCACTAAACACTTCCACCTAAAGTTATAGCAGGCCGCCTTTTCTTCGAAAACTGCCCTTTTAAAGGGCAAGCCCCCGGGACGGAACTGTGATAAGAGCGCTTCGTAATGATGACTGAGCTGCGGGACGGCCTGAAAGTGGAAAGGAAAGCTAGAGAAATCTTTGGGATCGCTGAAATTAAGGCCTTAACCTTCAAAAAGGTCGGATGTGGAACGATGGCGAGGCAGGGCGGTCAAAGAAGACAAAACACGCGAGATCACGCCGTTCGAGAGAGCACGCCGGTGGGAAGCATTGCAAACGGGGGTCGATGGTTGCAGGCCCGTAAGGATTAGCGGCCCTAATCGCGCAACTTTTTACGGCGAAGCTGGAGTGAAATGTCCGTATCGTATCCTTCTCACAAGTGGCCAATCCAGGGTTTGCCTTTGAAGGCAACAATCCAGATTCAGGTCAGTGCAGTGATCCTCAGCGCAGAAAGGTCTTAGAGGATAGAGGGTTTGATTAGAGCACCGCAGGTGGCCTCTAGTTGCGACGAGGTTTTTGATGAGCTTATTTCCTTTTGATGATTTTTTATCGCCTCATTTGTGCGCGTCCACCTCCATTTTTCAACGGCAATAAGTGCGCCAGGCTTGCTTCGGTTATTTCGGGATCCGCCAGGATTCTCCCGAGAATTAGGGTCCGTCTGGTTGACCTGCCTTTGATGTGAAACACCATTACTTACAATTGAAATCACATATTAGCGACGCTTCTACGGTTGGGTGCTGCTATGGCCGGTGCAGAGGAGGAAATGCGCCGCGTGCAATATCATTTCCATATGTACTTCTGCATTTCCTTTTCAGCTTTTTTTTTTCACTGACGCTCCTCTTCGCACTTCCACTCTCATTTTCAAGCGCAGTAGTCGCAATAGGGTTGAGAAGCGTCCCTTTGATATCTTCCAATAGCTGAGAAACCTTGATCGAGCACGGACCTTTTCGTATGTCCCAGAGATATAGAACGCTGCGATGGCATTTCTCGAAGCCGTTATCGCTGCTTATAACATCTCCATATCGGTTTTTAGGCCACTCTAATTTGCGTACGTCAAGCCCATCCTTTCGCGTTGTATCCTTCTGGTCGCACAAACTATTAAAACATGGGAAGACCAATTTCTGACCATGATGCCTTGGTTTGGTTTTCAGATGAGTTAAAAGCTCAAGCTGTCTATAAATAGAAAAAAATAATAAGGAAATGAGTGTCGCACAATATCGTGGGCAGAGATACTTTTTGATGACGCAAAACGGTTTGCCACAACTTAGACACAACCCATCATGCCTTCGAGATTCCATACTGCTAGCTGTTTCGAGATCCCTTCTCGAGGTGTTATCCGGATTGACTGTAATTGATTGTGTTTGCCACGCGATGAGGGAGGGCAAAGTTCAGTTTGCAGGGACGATTGGGTTTAAGACAAGTCTGAGATCAAACTGATGTGTTATTGCGCTTGTAAATGACAGTGCGGATTTGAAGTGTAGGGCCAGTTAAGAGCGAAAAGGAATCGCCCCAATCCGCAGTTTGGCGGCAAACGAAATAGCACTGATTTCGGGGGGGGGGGGGGCTATGGTAAGCGGGTGGAGCATATTTTCGTTGATTTCTTGAGCTTTGGTATCTCAACCTTGGTAAATGGCGGCTTCAAGTGGGTCATGCCTTCTATTGCGGTTCACTCCACAATCCTTGCGCGGAAGCGCCTCAAATTTCGACCATAAATCCGGACTGTGCATCGGCGCGCTCCGATTAAGGCGCGCCTCACCTGCTCCATCCGGCGTGTAGGTAGTGGACTGGGCGCAGACGGAAAGCGGGTTGGTGTCGGCCCCCTTTTGTGAACTTGAAAAGGGCGCGACAATGGGCCGCCAGGAGCATCATCCGACCCGGCAACTCCACACCTTCGTTCCGCCCCGCAACTCACACCTTTCGTCCCAGCCCGCCATTCCGATGTCATGTTGGCCACGCTGACGGCTGCTTGGAATAAACGCCGCGGGCGCACTTGAGTAAGGCGGTTTGCATTGCGGCGCTTAGTGTCATTGGCATCTGGAGCAGCTGCTGAGCTACGTTCTGAAACTTTGTCCCATCACGCCCCTGTTTTATCCAAGGTTAATTGCGGCTAAAGGTGTCCTATTTTAGGGCGATCGGTTTCGGACAGTTTCTTTAACTTCTTTTTACTTTTTCTGGCGCACTCCCCTTCTTCTAAGATCCATTATCTTGAAGCTTTTCCACACCAAATTTTATTAGACGAAGGCTTGCCCTAAGTGAACAGCGGTACACAGAGCAATTATGGGAGTTCCGCGTTTTGTATTGGCAGGTCGAGAAACGCCGCTGAGTGCATTCCAATGATTGATGAATATGCTCGACTCAACAAATTCTTCGCATCGAATAGATTCTCTTGATTGATAAATTGTTCGGCCCCGTTACTCATCTATTTCTTAGAAGAACGAGGTTAAAATTTTTTTGCCATGAATCCCCCCCCCCCCGAATATTTGGCGTAGGTGGGGTTTGCCGGCTGGCGTGACGCTGAGTGTATTTGCACCCAAATGCCGATGATTTTTCTTAGATTTCTGGGATGGCCTCGCCACTCGCAGCGAAGAACAGGACACGTGGGAAACAACACGAATTATAGTTCCGGAGTCAGGCGATGTGAAATTCAATGAGTCTAAGGAACTTAGATTTCACTATTAATATCAGTTCATAGCTCACGCGACATCGACTGCAGAAGAGAAACCACAGACTGGCGGCCGAAGTTCAAATCCGGCACAAAAGCCGGTGGTCGAATCAGAGCTTTATTGGCCACCTTCTGCTTCGATCGATTCAGCTCACGTTTGCGGATTTCCTGGTAAAGGATGTGATATATTATTAGACGCAGTCTTGGAGCTGTGGAATATGTGTTGCTAGCAAACAGATATTAAAGCCAGCGATTCGCGATGGCTGGAGGCGGGGAAACGCGCGGTTTCGATGAGCTGTTCACTTGAGCGTTCGTTGGTGGTACTAGAACACTTTCAGCGCGCTGGGGTGTGGTTAGGACGCACTTAGCGCGCTCTCAGCCTTTCACCAATAGAGTTTCAACGACGTCATCAAAACTGAAACCACCCACCAGCCAGGCGAGTCGGACTTGAAAAAAGGGATTGGAAACCTTAAAGTGTCGCCGACTTTGAAGAGCTGCATGCAGTATCCCTCTGAACGCATAAGATTGAAAGAGATGTGGATGATTCGTAGAGAAGGCATAAAAAGGCAAAAAGTAGGGAAAGAAAGGCTGGACGAATTTCACGCTACCGAGATGCTAACGAGACTAGGACTATGAATTATACATATAATATTCCAACCACTTTCAGCTTCTAATATTAAAAATACGACCCACAGCCAACGAACACGGCTCCAGTCCAGCGAACCTCGTCTGATGACCGGCCGAGACAGGTTGTATTTGTTGGATCGGAACCCATCGGAGGCCATCGTCCGCCATTTCTCTACATATCGAGCAGCAACTGCTTGTCACGCCTGAACCACCTCATCAAATTTGGCATCCTCAGCGCATACGCAAAAAAACTATACAATCACACCCTTTTTGCTTTCTTCCTACCGTAGATCACCTCGATGGTGCTGAAAAGTGCTCCAGCCGCCACTCCTCCAGTGACAAGGATAAAGACATCCTGGAACAATCAGTAGGGCCACAATTCGTTTTCAAAGTTGTTCTTTGGACATGATTCCGGTACTCAAAAGCACAAGGCACTCAGTGGGGCTGTAGGGCGAAAGGCCGAAAACTGACTCGCATATTCCAAAGACTGAGTCGTGCAGGAGATTTATGGGCTTCGGTGACGCATTTGGATTCCCGGTTGTCGATCCACTTGGCGTCCAAATTCTCCATGACTCCGCCTGAAACGGAGCGTAGTTTCAAGGGACATTACTTTTATCCCCACAAAATTTTTAGGAATTGGCGTTCCAGAGGAATCCGGGACCGAAATTCTTAGCATCACTCTGGTCAGCTTCGAATGTCTTTTTGCAGAGGCTCACTTTCAGTCATTCTAAGAATAGCGGATGTGATGTGAGGCGTCCATGGGCTGTTCTTTTGCAATCCAACACCATACGCACTTCGTCCAAACAAGGCACCTCTGAAATTGCGTGGGTTGAACAGCAGCCGAACAAAAAAGGAAATTTAAAATGCACAGCGCACCTGGTTCGCAATACACAATGTCTGGCCGCCTCGAATCCAGTCGAGTAGAATCCCAAATGAAAGCGTCCAGGGAGCTAAATATTCAACGAAATTCACTAAACTCTTACGGTGCTTTATGGGGAGGGTTCTAGAAAATAACATGTGATTTGTTTCAGATTGTCGGCTGACTCGCGACTCATGCCTCGGTAGCTCTGTGCGCCACTTCGGGTCCTGTGAATGATGTAGATCTCACACACCCGTGCGCTACAAGGCGACTGCGAACGGCAATAGGGTTATCTTGTATTTTAAGTGTATTCGGGAAACATGTGGGGGAAGGGGCGCTATTGGGACTTCAGGTGCGTCGCTATTCGGAAGAACCCCAACACACTTAACTACCCCCCTCGCTTGAGTCCCTCACCCAGGGACTTTGGGAGGCTCTTGCGTGAAACCATTATTGGGTGAGGACGCAGAGCAATTGTCGCTTTCGAATCTCCCCAGCCCCAGTCCGCCACAGCGGATGCCCTCTCCTGAGTACAATAGCGCCTCCGAAAAAGGCATAATAAATGCTTGTAGTAGAGTATTAGGGCTAGCCAAAATGACCTTTGAGACCAATGGAATGTTTCTGGAGAGGGCGAAGTTGCTTTGCGCAAAATCGTCTAGGGATGGACCGCATTTTGTCCCGATGTGCTTCAACAGCACGGGAACTACACGATAAAGGCTAAGGTTTTATTTTTAGGTATCCTCCCTTTTCAGGCTTGGGAAGAACCAGAAAGGAATAGGGGCTCACCATTGATCAGAGATTGACACACGCCATTCGGAAACCTGAAACAAAGAGCATCGCACTAATTTTAAAGACTTCGAAAAGCAGCCAGAGTATGACAAAAAATTCTAAAAATTGCTAAAGAAAAACTGGTACTTTTTCCACATTGTGAGCTTCCATTTTTCGGAACATGGTAGAGAGTTCAACGTGTCGCTTGAAGTACTGGTAGACGTTCGAATTGAGTACTGTGCCGAAAGAGAAATTCGCTGACGGATTTCGTAGCTGAAAAGAGCATCTCGAAGACTGCGCTCTGAAAGACTCTAATAAGGACAGGAATTACAAACCCTTGGATCAGTGATGCCGGTGAGGCCTTTTTCGGGTTGATCCAGAACGAGAAAAGCGGCCAAGTTGGCGGTATAGGAGGCCACCATTGATTCATGCATAAATCCGCCACACACCTGTCCCGCAGAACTCGCGCTGGCGCGAGCTCGGGAGTCTTACTGAAAGTTAGAAAGGCCTTTCCCCCATTGCAAGGCATGATGGAAGATGAAGGTGTAGGCGACCCGTCTCAGGAGGGTGGAATCGACCCCTTAAACAGACCCCGAAAATTTCATGGTATTTTTCCATAACAGCTTTGCTAAGAATTACATAAGCGTTATGGTGGCTTACTAACTCGATCTCGAAAGGCATCCCGGGAAGAAAATGTCGATGGGGGGTCATTCCCTTCTGTAAAACTGATTGGCCGACATCATTTTTACGCCTATTTTTCAATTTTAACCTGGGCCGGGCTTTTTTTATTTGCATAATCTGATCGCCTAAAGCATTAAATATTGCCCTAATAGAATGTTGGGATCAACTTGTTGAAAAATGGCCCTCCCCCTTACCCCTTGTCAGGGGGTTAGTCCCTTAACATTTCATTAACAAAAATGTTTGGCACTTAACAACATAACTCCACATCTCAGCAAAATGCAACCTTTCTTTCGAAGATTACAACATCTTTAACTCCTTAACGTTAGCTTTGGGCTCAACGAGCCCAGCGCTTCGAGCTTGGCGGTTGGACTGGACCTGCGATTAGTTATTTATCAGGCAATAAAGAGCACCCGCTCAATCTTCTACAGTTGAGATGTGTAACTCAAAAACAAACAACATTCAACTCAAGTAAACTGCAACACGTACGAAAAATGTTCACTCTGAAAATAAGGAATGAGAAAAACGCATACAAAAAAAGATAGCTAATTATGTGATTTTAGAGAGCGCTCGATAATTTACCATTCTTGCGTATAAAATAGACGTTAGAAGCTTACTTTCCGACACTCCACTGTTCAACAGAACACCCCAGACGAACCACATTGCTTCGCCGAAATTGACACGATCATTCGCCACCTGCTCCAGAAACAGATCAGTCGGCGAGCCCAGAGGTGGTTCGTTCTTAACATGAAAGCTTAACATAAGGACTGTTAGGCGTTTCGCATTTTTAACATTGACATAAGCGACATCATCTTCTCGTACTAGTGCCTATTATAGTCAACAATATTGATCACGGAATTTCCACAATACACGAAGGAAAGGTATCCAAATCCGCAATGAATAAAGTTTTCACCCGATAGAATCGATCAAATGGTGATTTCAGATCGAGGCAGAAAATGACGAGACCGACAGTGATTACAGAAATAAAAAGCGCAGTCCACAACGACGACTTCAGCGGTTGTAGGAACGACTGCATTGGCGAGTCGCGTGGAATCTGAATCTGAATTGAATAAAACTCCTTCGGAGGGAACATTTCCAAAATATTAGCAGATAGCACGAGGCCAAAATGGAACTCTGACCGATTTTTCGAGTATCCGAATTCCGTGGTATGACCATGGCTCGGAGAAGTCGATATATCTGAATTTATACTTCAAATCTGGATAAAAGTGAACAGGTATAAACTCATTCCACTTCATTTCGTCTTCTTTCTTCATACAGCTTTTATTTTCGCTGCTGAATTAAATTTAAAAAATATCCATCGCGGAACTAACGAACGGATTCGAATATGGCTGTCGCGCCGGAAAACGCCATACATTAGTTGAAAAGTGCTTTCTCATCAAAACAGAATGAATCCTGTGATCTCCTTAGCATGATCGCAGACGCTGTTCCAGCACCTTCAGCTGGACAGGGGCAGTCTGCATGACCGCTCTGACATCCTCGTTTCTGACCCTGTCCAGTCGCGTCCAGCCGCAGGCCCATCTCAGCATGATCATTCTGGGCACCTGACAAGAGGCCCGTCGCGCGGCGAGAAGGCAGGGACGCAGATGGATTAGCGGACGAGTCGCAGCGCGTACTGTAGCGATTTGGCGTCAAGTTGAATAGAATGTACATAGTACGTCCCACATCGCACAGCACGCGCTGCGACTCGTCCGCTGACCCGCATGCGTCTCTGCCCCTCGCCGCACGGCGGGCCTCCTATTGGGTACCCTGAATCTGCCTTTCGTAATTTCTGTTCAAGGGTTCTGGCGAATTCTAGATTGCAGATGATTCCATGGTACCCCCTCCGATTTCATCCACGCCGCGCCTAGCCGTCCATTTGCTGCCTAATCGACACTGTGGCAGCAGCTAGATCGCTCTTAAGGTATCAAAGGTCTTCCACTCTTTTCTAATGGCCGTTCGTGATCTGCTCTTGGGCCCACTAGTGAATTCGTTGAAGAAATAAGGTAGCTTCTTCATGCTGAAGCACTTACACTTACGTCACTTACCTCGAGTCCACCTCGAGATTGACGCGGATGGCGGTTGGTTTCACATTATGAACACGGTGAGGGCAGTGGAGGTGGGCTTCCTTCAACTTATAGAAAGGTGTCGACATTACCAGCTCGCAAGTAGGACTTTGATACGGAGCGCAGAAAAGGCGCGCTTGCAAGACGCACAGCGCTTCGAGCAACTCCCGGAGCGAATCCATTCAAAGTTGGCCAATGCACCGCCCTTGCTGGCAACAGATTTGTCTGAGCTGATCAACACACTGGTTTGTACGTCGACGCTGCGCAATTCATTGGGACGGAGTCGGCTAATTCGAAAGACTCTGCGCTTCTGGATGGGAGAAGAATACGAGGCAGGGTCAGCCGTCACGTTGCACCAAGTTCTAAACTTTCTAGAGGGCCTCGATACGACCCCCCTCAGGGTCAACCCTTCACGACCCCCTCCACCACCATGAGACTCAGGAGGCTCCCGCAATACAACCACCCTTCCTTCCTACCCCGACCACCACCCTCGCCATGAAAAATCATCCCTTCCCTTACTGTAACATTAACGCTACCTCGCGAAATACGACCCCCCTCTTTTCCACCCCCAAATACGACCCCCCCCACCCCCTCGTTGGACTTTGTCCAACGGACGGTTGACCCTGATACGAGGCGCGTCCGAAAAGAATTTGTTGGCGCAGAACGCTCTATCCTTTCACGTGGAGCCCCGCTTCACGATTACAGTTACTTTTGAAGGAAGAATAAAACATTTATTTGAATTCTTCTGCGAAATATTGCAATTCATTTCTGTCACTGATAGTGGAGAATTACTGCAGAACTCAGGACACCTACCAGAAAGCAAATCAAAATCCCGGCTGTAAGATCCTTTGAAATTTCAGCACAGTTGATTTAGTGGGAGAGCTTATTGGGAGTAAAGTGGTCAATCAATGAGAGAAAAAATTCACCAAACCTTTCTCTTTCAGGATTAATGGTCATTCCGCCAATAGCCAAATCTGCTTGATCGCTGTCCAACTCGCCCAGCGCGCCAGTCAGAATGTAACCCTTGATAAATTTTTCAGAATTCTTCTTCACTCAAGACGCAATAGTAGTAAAATATGGCTACCTTTTCTCCTAAAATAACAGCGCCATAGCTGTCGTTCAAGTGCAAAGAGAACGTGAAGCTCGTGTCAATTGTGGTGTTTGGCTGGAAAGCGTGCAAAATTTCTATTAACTAGTAATTTAGTAGTAGTAAATTACCGCTAGTAAGTTACCTCTGGTAGCGATAGATTGGACAGCAAATCTATTGCATAACCGGCACAGCAGTGATGGGAGGTGTAGTTGTAGCCGTATTTCGGGCAAGGGTACCATGGTCCGTCCTTCAAAATTCATGTAAACATTCGGTTGAAAAAGGTAGATGTGAGGAGAATGCTAGAATGAGCTTACCACTTTAACCACGTTTGCTTTGCTGAGCTCGATGGCGACAGTTCCAAGGTTCTTGCACTCAGC